TTGTTTATTGGTTAAACAGTGCATATCATACTTAACTAGGACAAAATAAAATAAACTTATAAACTGTAATCAAAACTAAATGCAAACTATCCATTAATTTCCTCCTCACACATATTAACATTAAAACTCATTTTTTTAATAAATAATTTAATCTAAATTTGACCAAGGTGTATATAGCAATTTCCATATTAAAATGTAAAAAAGAAATTTGGAGGCAGGGATTGTTTTTAACCCACCATATTAAAATACAAAAGACAATTAATAGGATCTTAATATTTTGGGAAATTAATAGAATTAGTCATTTTCAGATTTTGTATTCATCTCTTAGCGATTTTCGGCCATTGTATTCTCTTTTAAAATTTTTAAAATATCACTACATCCACAAGTGTCACCTCCTTAATTTGTAGAGGGGTCAAAAAGTTTTTTTCCCCTGTGAATTATTATTATTATTATATTAAAAATGTTTTTATTTTTTTCAGTGTATGATTGAAGTTGATTTTTTTCAGTGTTCAAGGGACTCGTTATTTTTAATGGTTGGTTGGGAACACTTAGAAGATTAATCCAAAACTTAAAAACGACTCTTTTTAATTAATTTCTCGAATATGTTTTATATAAGTCGTGATCTTAAACATCCAATCCATGAGAGAGACGACGACTTATTCATTTGTTCACTGCACGTTTTTTATGACGTTCACACGATACCAATTTTTTTATTTTAATTCTTTTTTTGGAGGGGGGTGGGTCGGGGTTACTTTTTTTAATTTACAATATAACATATTTTCAGATTATTTTAATGGGATATCAATAATCTTGTTAAAGATTAAATTCGACATTAAATCAGTTCAACGAGAATATCAAAATCTCATACCAAATTCGATGTAATGAATATTAAAAGTTTAAATTTGTGATTTCACATACCATTCCTTTACGCCGTATTCTTATTTAATGTTGTTATATATCTAAGCTTTTTGTAAGATTTGGTGTTATTCAGTGAAGTAAATATACTGTTTACAACAAATTCTACACTGATTTTTATGGATTTGATGTTACCCATTGGAGATGTTTTACACGGTGTAAATGAAAAGGACTTTAAAAGTTAAAGGGCTTACGAACTAATTTTTCATAAGAGCCCTCACAGAGTATCTATGTGGCCGTTTACCTAAACACTTACCCGGTAAGCGCTTAATGGTGAAATTCAATTCTATATCTTACTTATCGGGTAAGATTTTAGTCTATCAAAACGACATCGTATGTAACAGTTTACTCAGTAAACGCTAACCGTGGTAAGAGTCATGACCATTACTTACCGGGTAAGACCCTCGGTTCGTGCCTTCGCTCTTACTAGATAAGATTCTTGGTCCTTACCATATTCATCCGGTAAGGGAATGTGACCTGATAAATGCTTAACCGAATAAGCATTTCGTAAACGGCCCCCAAGTTTCTTATTTTTACTTGTACTTCATTTGGATCCTTCCAAAATCAGTATTTTCTATGTTGTTGGTGCTTTTTTTTTACCATACTGTGCATATGTTGCACCATCAGTTTTGATATTTTGATAAAAATGTGTCTTGTACTGATGAACTATTCAAGTGGTGTGCGTTTTTAAACTTTATGACATTAAATTATAAAATTTCACAACTCGTGTAATTCATAAACTTGAAATATGACATCGAGAAGCACGTTAAAAAGACGAGATCGTAGAAGCTTATGGTTGAAATATAAATTCAAAGTATCATTTCGGGCGTAATATATAATTGGCTTTAAGTAAGAAAGAGTTCGAGACTTAAGCCTTGTTTATTTAAAAAAAAAAACTCTTATCAGCCTCTTATGTCTGATTCATTAAGAGGTATGGTCATTCAAATTGTTTATTTTTCAGATGCACTTATGCTTTATTGTTCTTTTATGTGGCAAGAGGTAAACCACCCTCTAAAACCAACCTCTTCTTTGTCTTTTATTGTTTTCCAAATTTTAGCAATGATGTTTCTCAATTGCTTAATCTTAATCGATCATTTCTCTCAATCGATCCTTACTAAATCGATCCTCATCTCTCTAAATTGATATATTCTAATTATATAATTTAAATGTAAATTTGGTAAAGATGATGAACAAGTATGTGAAAGTACATAAATTTATCTATAAATTCAACAATATAATTTTTTTACTGGTAAAATAGAAAATTTAAATATTTGTTAGTTTACAAAAACAAACAGTCTTACTGATTCAAATTTTAAACTTCAACATCACGTCTTATCAATCATAAACAAGAATTCAATCTTCAGCATCTTTTAAAGAAACAAACGTCACCCTACTATATATTAATATGACTATAATAGACTATATCATTGAAGTCAATCGTCAACTTAAATCAATCATATAAGTCAATGTATTTTGACCAAAATATCAAATGAAAAAAAAAATATATTCTATAATTAAGTATATATATTTTGAGGCTTATGACAAGAATAACCCAATTTTTTTTAAACTTATGTTTTTAACTCTTAAATTTAAAAGTTTATAAAATTAATCATGAGTTATTCATTTAGCAAAGAGTGGTGTTAATAGGGACCTGCATGCAAAAAAAAATATGACATCAATGTGACTCTTCTTCTGACCGATTTGATTATCAGTCAAATTTAATTTTTATTTTAAAATTTTAAATAAACTTCTAAGCAAAAATCTAATATTTTTGGAAAAAAAATTCTAAAAAAATAAATTTCTAAAAGAAAAAAATTAAAAATTAAAATAAAAATTAAATTTAACTAATGGTCAAGTCGGTCAGAAGAAGAGTCACATCGATGTCATAATTTTTTTTGCACATACGTCTCCGTTATTACCACTTTTTGCTAAACGAGTAACTGATGGTTAATTTTATAAAATTTTAAATTTAATGGTTAAAATCGCAATTTTAGAAAAATATTGGGTTATTATTGACTTCTTGTGAGAAACCCTACATTTTGGTGTAATCTTCTTCCATAGTGGTATAATACAATAATGTTATTGGGGTAGATGCACAAATCACTTTCAATAGAAGAAGAAGGATAAACGGATTGGTACAACCGTACAAGTGAAGAAAAAAGCAACAGTGCTATCAATTATCCTATAAAAATGCAAGACATTTCGATTGATGCCATTAGAACGAGGAAAATATAATAATTTCGATGTTAATGAAAATTTTAAAATGTCTTTTGATAAAACACATAAACAAAGATATGTAGTTTAGATGATTATTTATATAAAAGGACAAATTATATGAAAAAGTAACATACTTTAACTTAATTTCTATTTTTGGTAACGTACTTTCAAAACTTCAATTTTTGGTATCTAAGATGTAAAGTTTTAAACATTTAAGTATCCAAGTAACCCTGTTGAAGCAATAGCCGGTTACCATATTAATGAGACGAGTGATATGATATTCAACTCAGTATTATTTACTGAAACATTAGCCGAATATCACATCACTTGCCACATCAACATGACAACCAGTTAATGTTTAAAACTTTATATTTTAAATACCAAAATAGAAGTTTTAAAAATACGTTACTAAAAATAATAATCAAGTTAAATTACATTATTTTTTTATACAATTTATCTTACGTAAAAAGTTGTTAGTTTTTTTAATCAAATAAAATGTTGGTACAGTTTTGTTTTGAAGTGAGCATAGGCGGTGAATGGCCAAATCTTGTTATTTCCTTCTTAAAATGGGCCATATGATTAAAAATGACTGGGTAGCCATTTCAATGCACGTGGGAGCCTCATAAAGGGGTTGATATCCCCACCCTTACCGTCACTTCTCACACCTTTTTCTCACTTTCATCCTCACATACTCATCCCTTACACAATCTCACCCTTTCACATGCACCGATAGAAAGAGGTGAGGTTAGAAAAGGGCTTTTTTATCCTCCACCCCATCTTATTTCTTTTCTCCTAGTTTTTCTACACCCCCCCTATGTGTGACAATAAAATATATTAAAATTTATTTATTTTATTTTTTAATTTTAACCTTTAATATTTTTAGTTTTAACCCTTTAATTTTTTAAATATTTCCTATTATATCCTCTATTTTTTTATCTATACCATAATTACATATATTAATTAACTATATATARTTATTAATTAATTAAATATTAAGGATACATATTTTTTTAATAATTATATAAATTAATTAATTTTATATTATTATTAATTAATAAAGTATTAAAAACATGTATTTTTTAAATTATATATTTGTATATGAATTTTTTCAATATTTATACTTATACTTTATATCTTTATAAATAAAAACGTATTTTGTAAACATATTTTAATATTAGACTTATTTTGAAGGTATTGACAAGACGATTATAATRRTGTAACTTGTTAGAATAAAAACGTATTTTGTTCACATATTTTATTTAATATAAAATTATGTATGTAAATGTGATAAGAATGTAAAATGAAAATGACAAATGGAGAAGTTAGGGATATACTAAAAAATTAAATAAAAAATTATGTATTTTAATGTGATAATGGTGTAAAAATAATTGATAGATCATAAATTAAATAAATAGCTATAAAAGTATAAATCGTAAATATTCAAAATATTTTTTCACAGTGTATATAATATATAATAATATAATTAACTCAAAAACTATTCAATATTGGACTCATTTCGAAGGTATTAACGAGACGATTATAATGGTGTAACTTGTTAAAATAAAAAAATATTTTTTAAAAATATTTTAGTTGATATACGATTATGCATGTTAATTTAATAAAGGTGTAAAATAAAAATTTTAAAAATAAAAGATGTAAAGTAAATTAATTAAATAATTAAAGGGGTATGAAGTGTAATTTAAAATTATAATATTAAATAAATTGATTGAATGTCAGGGGGTTGAATGTGAGAGGGAGGGGGTGAATAAGTAACGGAAGGGGGTGGGGATATCAACCCCTTAGAAAAACCTCTTGTACAGGTAGACAGTAGACACTAGACACCACTTGCACTGCTAGTCCTTTCAATTGAATTTCTCTCTGTATCGCTCTTGACTAACAGAATCGAAGGACGACGATGAGTTTCCGGTCAAGGTTTCCGCCACCGCTGCCGGCGCCTTCTTCAATTTCGATTTCGAACTTCATCTTCTTCGTCCTCTGCATCGTCCTGTTTCAGAAATCCGACGCTCAAACTGCCCGAACTGATCCTTCTGAAGGTACTATCTCTGCTCTGCTATCTCTCTCTGTCTCACACACACACGGCTTATTAGATCGACAACGAGTTTGACCTGATTTAACGCTTGACAATTGAGTATAGTTTCTAATTGTTTGGATCGATCATGAGCTCATGATACTTTATCGTGATTCAGTCGTTCTTATTCGTATAGTATAATCCAAAGAGACATGTCGGTTGATTGCATTCATGATTCACCGTCTGAAACCGTTCAAAAATGTTGGGCGCTTGGCATCTACAATGTGATTTTTGTAGAGGTTTTTCTCATTTTGATAAAATCTCATTTTAAGGGTTTTTTAACATAATTTTTCCTTAAAGAGGCATTTCGTGAGGCCTTCGGTGAAGGACGTAATGTCTTCTTAAAGAATTTTATATTTATCGAACTTCCATGATTTATTAATATTAGAAGGGTACTCGCATATTGCAGCGAGATATTTATTTTCACTTTAATGTTTCGGTTTTATTTTTTGTCTCTGTTGATATAATACGATTTATGTGGTTTTGAGAAAGATAATGTTTTTACGATTTAGTGAATTAATTTATTTTTGACTTAACAATGAAATTTTATAAAGATAAAGATTCTGTTATAACTCAATGATTATCCTAATTATATTTTAGAATTTTTGTATTTAAAATGAGATATTTATTCTGTGTTTGATTATGTTTATCTGCAGTTAGTTATACAAATTCAAACATGAAGCTTTAATAAGTTGTACATACGTACAATTTACTTATAATCTTAAATTTTAAGTAATATGCATTAATACTAAGTACTTCATGCATAATAAATGATTTTTAAAAGTTTTTGTCAAATGCTTTATAATATAGTATAAATAACTAAAGTAATTATATTTAAATATAATTAATATAAGTATATATATTTATTATTTCTTTTTGTAAAACAAATACATAATTCAAGTAATAGTGTTTTTTTTAAGATATAAATATGCATTTGTATGAATTTAATCTATTAAATTTCATAAATAAAAATAAAATAGTACGAAGTAAAAATGGTGGAACTTAAAAAAACAAGAAACTACTAAAAAAAACTTTAGGTTTTTTGTCGTGTAAGCAGGGCTGGTCCTATGGTTCTGGATGTCCTAATCCAAGAAACATATTTTTTAAGAGATTCGGAACCTAGTCGGACTTTCTACTGGTTTATAGAGGGATGCTACCTTTTTTGAGGGAGAGAGTAGATCAAAGGTGAAAGGGAATCTCGAAGTTGGATGTGGACCATAAAATCATTTACATGGTGCCCGGACATGATTTTATGTTTAATGACTATGAGTAGCTAACAACTGAGATATATAACATATCATGACAACCTCTCCATTCACCGTTGACTGATAACACCATTATATTGTTTTACTAACCGTTGTATTTTTTCTTTTTCTTATCCACTCTAGGTTTGTTATGAGTTGGGTCTTTAGAAGTAATCGTAATAGTAGCCCGTTTACTTACCTTTAACAATAGAAGATAAAGTAGTTACAAAGTAACAAAGACATAAAGAATACTTGTGTCGCCCCTTTCTTTTTGAGTTCATCAATTTCTATTGGGGGAAATGTTCACCACAAATAACCAAATATGAATAAACCACTACAACAAAGTGGAAATACTGGTCTAATCAACAAGTATAATACGCCCCGTTAATAATAATCAAACCACAAATGATGTAAAGACAATTTTAAGCATAAAATATTAAGACAAAAATATATACAATTATGGCATGAAATTGAGACATCAAGATTTAACCAAATAAGTGAAATAGGTTTAAGAAAATCACTTAAATAGTCGCATCATCAAAATAACAACAAATAAATATCAAGAAACTAAGAAAGAAAGCATCAAGATTCAAAGAAAATAAACAAATCAGATAACTAGAATGAATAAATAAGAAACTAAGAAAGAAAACACTTTGGTTCAAGCTTGAAAGAAACCAATTGCGGTTTGAGAACCGAAAGTGAGAGCTAAAAATGGAGGTTAGAAGATGAGTCAAGGTTAGAGGCTGAGATATGACTGCTGAGAGCAATGGTGGGCATTGGTAGCACTGAGCATCGTAGCCCGTAGGTGAGGGGCAGAAGACCAGTCGTGAATCATGAAGGCAAAGGTGGGAATAAGAAGCCAAGAGCGGTAACATTTGTAGGAATATAAAATAAAATGATGAACTTACTAATTCATTTAACTATTGGACTATTATGGCCTTTGGACTTTGAAAAACCTAAGATTATGATGCTTTTGGAATTTTATTTTCTTCCAAAATTTTCATTTAGCCGCCTACATGCCCCTCCATGGACCCCGGCTGCCCCATGGCCGATTAGCGCGGTTGTCAGCACCTCGAAAAGTCCAAAAGTAAACGAGACTATAAAATAATATTTTCCTTCCATGTCCTAATCCAATAAATAAATAAAAGAAATAAAAGTTAGGGCGGTTTATCAAAAACTTATCTTGATAATTGCTTACCGGTAAAATTCAACATTATTACTTATATAACGGGTAAAATTTTATTCTACCAAAACAGTACCGTATATAATAATTTACCCGATAAGCTCTTATCGTGGTAAGAGTCGTCGCTTTCACTTACCAGATAAGACTCTTGTTCATTGTCTCGCTTCTACCAAGTAAGATTTTTGGTATTTGTCATATTCATTTGGTAAGTTAATGTGACTTGGTAGACGCTTACCCGAATAAGCGTTTAGTAAACAGCCCCTTAGACTCAATTATGTATTTAGTTCATTTGGTCCGTTGAAAATTTATGTTTGTGTTCTTATAGTTTTAACATTATGATTTTCATTTATATGGTTTATAATTCATCACATTTTTTGTTCTTATAATTCAAAATTTATTGTTTTTTTTTGTTTTTATGATTTACAATTCATTTCTAATTTAGTCCTTCGTGCTTAAAAGTAGTGTTTTGGGCTAACGGACGAAAATAGAAATGAATTGCAAACCGTAAAGATGAAAATCGAAATTTTAAAGACATAATAGATAAAATCCATAATTTTAACAAGCCACAAAGACTAACAAAATAATTTACTCTAAGAATTACTCTACGGGTCTCCAAATAACTATTCATAACAGAGATCATATCTAGTTTTTGATGTACATAATTATTATATTCTTTTAGCTAGCAAAATGAAATCCAACAATACACTTAAAAAACACTAAAAATCATATTTAGTAATATAGTAATGATAATAAAATTATATATATATATATATACATATATATTTAAAAAAAACTTAATATTATAGGGCCAGGTGAAAAATCGTAAAAAATGAAAAATTAATGAACACTCTGATAATTGTTCATCTGGATGGTATATACATATACATGCAAAGTAGTTTGTAAACAATTTTTTCGGTATGTACAAGGACATAACATGAGAATAAGCTTCGATCACTGTATGCATATGTGCACACTTTCAGATGAATGATTACCAAAGTGTTCATTGATTTTTCATTTTTTTAGTTTTTTCTCTTGAAACTCCCTCCATTATTGTACATAGATAATTATAAAAACTTAATATTTTATTAATATTTGATATATAGACACCAACTTTATTGATCTTCAAATACATATGTCATATTTTATCTTTATTTTTTGGTGTTTTAGTGTTGAGTTGGAGATGCAAATACTTTTATTTGTGTTTTTAGTGTTGGATTGGAGATGCCCTTAGTTAATTTACCTCTTTTCACAACTGTTAAATATTTATATATTAATTAAAGATAAATTTAAGAATTTAATTATTTATTTTTGAAATAAAACACTTATCTTGGACAAACAAACTTAAATCAAGATGTGAACACTTATTTTAAGAAAAAATAATAATAAATGACTTGCCAATTTTACCATTAATTTGTACTTTTTTCGTACCAAAAGTAAATATCTATACTTTTACTATATTTTTTTTAAAATATATATTCATTTTTCAAAAGTTAATGTTTATTTACCAATTATAGTTATGAAAGGAACACATTCATTATCTGTTATGTTATTAAAGAAATTTATTATTTCATCTATGATTGTCATTTAATTTTAAAAAATATAATAATTATATTTTTTTTAAAGCTATACCTCTTTCAAGAAGAAATCTGAGGTCTTGATCTCATTTAATCTCAAACCCACCAATGATTCATGCTTGATACGGGAATTTATCTCGTACATTTTGGTGCATCTCATCTCGGTATCTCATCTTAATGTGCATTCAAAGTTGAAAATTTATTCTTACATTTCTTACTGGAACCTAATCTATATGATAAATTAGGCATAAATGCATTCTAATGATTAATTTCCTCCTCATATACATCAACATTTACTTTTTCCTTTTTTAATAAATGATTTGACTTGATTCTTACATTAAAAGAGTTAGAGATGTACACCCGAATGGTCCGAAATCCGAATTTGAGCTCAAACCAAAAAGAAGGTGTTTATGCAAAACCCGAATATTCCGAAATTCGAAAATCTGAAACCTGACTTTTGGGCGATATCTAGGTTCGTGTTAGATTTGATTTTTGGCCACCCGACCTGTCTGAAAACCCGAAATAATATACATATATATTTTAAATATTATATAAATATATTTATTAATCTAATTATCTTTTAGAAATCGTAAATTTTAGTTGGTCGAAATGCTTTCTAATTTATAAAATTATTATCGATTTCATCAATCTCTCAATTGATTAAATTCATTCTCAAAGTCGATTGAATTTACTTTTTGCATTGTAATAATACCCCAATCTGACCGCCATCAACCCAAAACTCGAAACAATCAGATATCCGAAACTTAAAATTCGGGTATTGATTTCTATATCCGAAATTTGATCGGGTTTTTGATTTATTCATCTAAACCAGTCAGATGCACATATAGCATTATCCGTGGAATTACAACATAGGATTTTAAAAATTCTAAAAACTAATTGGAAAAAGGACATTCTAACAACTTTTAACATTTTGTTCATTTTATAATTGTAAACAAATATTTGATAATTGATTTTATACTTGTACAACTGTTCATGGAACATGTATTTGTCCGTACCAATTTTTTATTACTAAATGTTTTGAATTTTTATCATTATATTGTACATCATTTAAAATTACAAGCATGTTTAATATATGCATTTTATAATAATTACAATTATTTACAAAAACCAAAAAATGAGTTATTTCTGTTAATGAGCTAGTTTAATTAATTAATATATGTAATAGATATTTAAGAAAACATTTATTAGAATCATACAAAAATCAATATGAATATTTAAATTTTAAATTAGATTATAAAAACAACTTAAAAATAAAACACAACCCCTAACCATATCAATGTTGAGTTTTGGTGGGAATGAAAGTTATGATGAGAAAAGTAAGAAAAGATTTCCACCATTTGATCAATTCTAATTAGATATCAATACTGATGCATTGCATTGAGATGAACCAAATCAATCCCCATGATAAGATTCAATTCATAGGTGATGGTGATATTAAGAGTGATCAAAGGTGGAGATTCATTTCTCAATATACCTTTCATTCTGACACGATCATTCGTCATGTCACCAAACGGGGTGTGTTCTTAATGTTCATTTACATAAGGTGTAATTATCAATTCGATTGGACAAACAACTTAAATAAGATGTTCTTTTGGTTATATGTTTATGTTTATGGGGTCTTCTTTTGAAAAATGTCATAAGAACTTTGCAAACCGATTTATCATCAAATATTTTATATGATTTTTTTTCATCGATGATTAGAATCCAATTAAGTGATTAACTTATTTCACACGTTGTCTTTACGAAACAAAAAACACTAGGCTGTTTGGTAATTGCTGAATGATTTGATGCAGAATGATTAAGTGGTCAGAATGGTTAAATATTATTATTTGATAATTGTTTGTAATGAAATTAGGATGCTTAATGGTCAAAGAAGACTAATAATACAAAATTATTTAGAGCGTTTTAGAACTATTAAGAGACAGATTTTTTTTTTGTCAAACAAGAAACGATTCAAAGACCGGTTCTTAATTAAATAACCCCAACTTTTTTTCCCCCACAAATATTGTCAAACTAATATATATGTTAATAGAATTTCTGGTAAAATCAATGTTGCAAATGTTTTGGTAAAACGGATATCAGAATCACGATCTGCCACTCTACGCATACCATTTGCATCTTGTATCTTCGAACGCTGCAGCATTCATTGAGGCCATCCTTCTCTCTTTTCATTGAACAGTGAGAGCCTTGAATTCGATATTTCAACGATGGGACGTTCGAATTCCCAGGAACCTGTGGAATATAAGCGGAGAACCATGCAGTGGAACAGCGCTCGGACCAGATTACGACAAGGAGTACAACAATCCAGCCATCGAATGCGACTGTACCTTCGACGGCAACACCACTTGCCATATTACCAAACTGTAAGTCTTCCGTTTTCTTGAATCAACTACTCTAGTTGAACTTGTTTTCGGAACAACTAACATAAATATGCATGGATGATTGAATCCCTCTTCCAAAGCGTGGAGATGGATTGGGAAGTCATCAAACAAACAGGTTAATTGGTTCTTTTTCCACATGGAACCATTAGGTTTGAAATTAATTCAGCATTGGGAATTACCTATAGAGGTGTTCTATGAAATTGATATGGTTTACTTATTGATGATACTTGTAGTTACTAGTGGTCTAGTGTCATGTTGTATCTACAAACGTATGTCTTCGGTTATCAGCAAGAAATACAAATTTATATCTACTGTTGGACTTTTTTGATCATCTAGTAGAAAAGCAAAGCAAATTCGACATCTGTATGTGGTTTAACTTGTTTTTGTGAAGAAGCGGTGACTGCTTTTAAATCTCATCACAAATTCTTTATATATATAAAATATTGGTGAATTTTAAAATGATCAATATCAAACTAAGGGGGTGTTTGGATGTGCCTTTGAATCAATGTGGTTATTGTGATTTTTAAGAATATAGTCCAGGATAGTTTGTAGTCAGGCATTTATCTTCAAACATCATATTCATAAAGCAACTACTTACTTGCGTTTCCTATTGACGCTAAAAAATCAGAATAAGAACCATTTTGTTGGTGATTTTAGTGAAAACATCGGTTCATTTTATGTAAGTGGATTCACAAGAGAATTATGGGTAAGCTATAACACGGCTAGGAGGAGTGGAGTGAACACTCATGTAAGCTAATTAGAACTTGAGATCGCTGGATGGCACCATATGGCGGGGGTCAAGGCCTCAAGGGGGCCGCACTCTCTTGTGGAGTCCAAGGAGTTGTCTCTGAGTTCCATTAAGAGAAGAGCTTGGGAATAATGAACTTCTGAATGTTCTAAGTGAAATTCAGAAGCCTCTGAGTCCCTTTTAGAAGCCTCCAAGTCTTATTCAGAAGCTTCTGACTCTATGAAGCTTCGGACTCTATAGAGCTTCTGAAGCTCTGAAGCCTTCTGATCCATGTAAGTAGGTTGTAACCGTTGTGCAGTTAAACATCCACTAATGATCCACTGATGACTCCAACAATCATTTCCATTTAATGGGGAGTTATTCTCTCATTTAATGTAGGAGTGGTTTCGATCCTGACAACGCTGCGAAAATCATGACCGGAAAATTGAGATTATCCTTGAGTAAGTTTCGTGATACCCAGACAGATTTGGGTTGAAAAATAATTTAAGGACGGCAAGCTCTACACGGTCTCAGTTTTTATCCGAGCTAGTAAACCTATTGTTTCTCTGTAGCTTTTGAGTTTCCTCCAACACAGTTTTCCCTAACACTACAAAATTGATTACCGCTGCTTCAGTTTTACAGCACAAACACCCCTTAAAAGACGTTGCCATATTGGACTCTTAAAATTCAATATTGATTATCTTTTTCTGGGAGGGAGTAGCTGAATACAAGATGAGGGAATGTGACACTGGAATAAGTAACCTAGACAGTACAGGACTGCTGACTTGAAAAGAAGGGTTATTGGTGGTTAAAGAGATGACAGTGGTGTTTTCTTTGGAAAAACCGAGTTGATGTTTGCAGAGGCATTTCTGAATAAATAAGGTTTTCGAAAGAATCATGGTAGGATATGAGCCTTCCTAGTTCTGGTTTGGATTTGAATATAAGATATTTTATTAAATCCCACACCTTAAACTAAAGTTATTGAGTCCTCCAAATAATTTATCTTAATTCTATCTGTTGTAATGCAGTATCCTAAGACTTCTCGTATTCTGCTTCCAGGAAAGTATGGCAACTTAACAGGCAAGGGGTTTTTCCTGAAGAACTTGCTGCTCTAACTTACCTCACTGTATTGTATGCCTTTCCATTTAACCTATCTTACTTTCTCTAAAAATTATTGATCAAAATGAATGTTCAGTCCCAAAATGTTTGAGACTTGGTCGTTTTTCTGTCCCAGATGTGATGGTATCATTGATGTATGCACTTCATAATATCCTTCACTCCTGCAGGAAAATCGATCAGAATGCCTTCACTGGTACCTTGCCTCCATTCATTGGAAATTTTTCTGCATTGATGGTCTTGTAAGTGTAGGATGTATATTTATCTGTTTATCTAATACCTATAAGATGATTCCTTATTCCTGCTGCACTTCTGGCTTTCGGCTATTGATTGGACATATAAGCATAAGGACAGTTTTAGTTGTTGTGTGGTTCTACTTGTATTACGTAGCTGTTTCTTTTACCTTTGCGGACTCTGACCATCTTTGTTTCTATTTTCCCATGAGTTTTCTGTTGTGATCTGTCGCAGTAACAAGATCTGATGACCATCCTAGATTAGGCTTGAAGGCTTGTTGAAGCAATGTACACCTTACCCTTCTGAATTTCGGTCTCCGCATAAGAAGTCTTAATTTTTCTTCATTGGTCATCCTTCCCTTTGTCTTGGTGGTGCTCAATTATTGTATTTTTGTTGTTTTTTACCAGTTTATTTTAATAAATTTATAACCCATATTTATAAAATATATAAATTAAAATTTATAAATTGTAAATTATTTATTAATTTTGTTTCTCGTAATGTTTATACAAGTTTTTGTATTTTGTTTTAATAAGTTTAATTTTTAAATAAGTATATAAATTTATTTAGTTATCCATGTTGAGATTTACCACATCAAATATGGCAGTTAATATATCCAGTATTTGTTTTTGTGTTCTAGCCTCTGGTGTGAAGGATAGATTTTCAAAATTGCTGATTTTCTCTTAATACTTTCATCTTGGTCAACTTTTTATTTTCGTTTATCTTAACAGGTCGGTTGCCCACAATCAGTTCTTTGGTCCAATACCCAGGGAGATTGGAAATCTTAAAAAACTATTCATGCTGTGAGTGCTTTTTAATGTTGTTATTTATGCATGCCGGCAATAGTTATGGAACACTTCTAATGCTTGTAAACTAGAGCTAACAGCAACTGCTGTGAAGTTAGACTAAATGACGTAGAGCTATTTAGGTAGTCCATGCGAATATTAGTTGTTGGAACTTGGAGATGAGTTGTGATATGAGAGTCATGCTTGTTAATGACATCACATTATTGATGTTGGAGATGAGTTGTGATATGAGAGTCTAGTATTCTTGCTTGGCCATTATCTTCCACAAAACAACTGACTCCTTCCACATTTAGTGAAGTGTGTAAATTTGGTAGTCAGAAGACGTCTACCATCGGATTAATAAGAGATCTAATATACTTTTGTGATCAAGTTTCAGCATTGTCTCAACTAACCCAATTAAGCATTATACCAAACTCATGATGGCTATCAACTCCTCAGACTAGATTTCTCTAATGGACCATAATAAGAACAACCAGACATTACGTCGTTGCAGACTGATGTTTTTGTTGATATTTGAGTGGGTCTGCTGTCTCACCCTTTTTTGAGTATCGCACTTTGATTACATTATAGGGAGGTGTTGCTCTAGTTGCTCTCTATTGAAAGTTTTCTTAGTCATATCAAGTAGAAATAACTCTCTGCTTGTAATTATGGTTCTTTTATTTACTTGCCTTTACATATCTAATATGGTTATGTTGTCTGTTTGTTGCAGGGCTTTGAGTTCCAATAATTTTTCCGGCAGTCTTCCCCCAGAACTTGGAAACCTAGTTAATTTGCGGCTATTGTACGTTTGTATTAGAATATACGAATAATATATGCAGAAACACATATGTTCCCCAAGACCGAAGTCAAAAAGATATAATCTAGTTATTAGAAGCTAATTCATATTATTAGAGTCCCACATCATCTAGACTTGGACCATTTTTTTTGGTTTAACCTGGATATCCAACCCGCTATGCGAGCTGACTAATCCGAGGGCAACTACCTGCTTTGCAGGTAGCCCGGAGTCGCCGCATTTGAACCTCCGTGGCTACGAGGGGATTCTTATTCCTCCTTGGATTTGAACCTGAGACCTCCAGGCACTTTTGACCTTTGGAGCCCAAGCTCAATCCAATTAGGCACCACCCTTGTGGTTTAGACTTGGATCATTTCTCCCCTATATATGTTGGAAACTCCTCTCTCTCCTCAAGGGCTCTTTTGGAAGTAATCTAATGGGGTTCCACATATCCTCACATGGTATCAGAGCCAAGGCCGAGCACTCTGGGGGCAATCTGTACTTGTCTAGCCCCCTCTCCCGACACTCTAGGAGAAGTTATGCTCGTCTAGCCTCCTTTGGAGGGGGCGTGTGTTAAGAGTCCGACAACATGACTTGGACCATTTCTCTTCTATATATGTTGGAAAACTCCCTTGGGATCTTTTGGAGAGTAATCGAATGGGGTTCCACATATTCTCGCCGAATTTGGAAACCTAGTCAATTATTCCAGCAGTCTCCCCCATCCCCGCAGAACTTGAAAAAGTTAATTTGCGGCTATCTTACGCTTGTACTAGATATATTAATAATTACTAGAAGGGTACTCGCGCAATGCAGCGAGATGCATCTTGATTTTAATATTTCATTTTATTCTTTATCTTAGTCGATGTTATAGTATGGTCTTATATGATTTTGAAAGAGCGATTATGTTTTTATTTTTGAATAAAATATAAATTTTAAAATATCATAAAAATTTGACAAAAATATAACGATATTAATACCAAATTAACTATTTAAAAATCCTATTTTTTGTGTAATTTTTTTTATAATATAATTTAGGTTCAATAATGAAGTAATTTATATTTGGTATAATAATATAATTTTCATATAAAGATAATAATTAATTATTTTGTAAGAACTCGATAATTATCCTAATTATATTTTAGATTTTTTATATTTTAAAATGAGATGTTTATCCTCTATTTGATTATGTTTATCTGCAGCTAGTTACACGAATTCAAACATGGAGCTTTAATAAGTTGTAATTATGCATAATTTACTTGTAATCTTGAATTTTAAGTAATATGCATCAATATATAGTACTTCATGCATAAAAAATGGTTTTTAAGAGTTTTTGTCAAATGTTTTATAATATAGTATAGATATGCACAGTCATATATGCTTCTGAAGTCAATAAGATATAATTTAGTATCTGATTAGAAGCTAAATCATACAATCTTAACTTAAATTTGCAGATACCTAGACAGTTGCGGTGCTGGTGGCGAGATTCCCTCAACATTTGCCAACCTCCAAAATTTGGTTGACATGTACTTATTTTCTTGTCCCATGAATATTCTTTATTCTTTGTGTTAAGTGAAAGCCAGATATCATCCGATGCGATCAGCTTATTTTTGCTTACTCTCAGTTGACTTGTTGGTTTTCAGGTGGGCACCAGACAACCCGTTTACTGGAAAGATACCTGCTTTTATAGGCAACTGGAGAATATTAGACCGCCTGTGAGTAAGAAGGGCTGTTGTCGACATTCTAAGCTAGAAAAGTATCAGTTACTCATTTACAGATATTGTTTGATCTTATAGGAGACTTTACGGCAATAATTTTGAAGGTCCAATACCGGCTAGTTTCTCAAATTTAACCTCATTGACAGATATGTGAGTTGCATGCTTTCTCTCTACCTCCTCTCCCTCTACAGATATCCCCTCTGGTTGTCCATGTGCATGAACAACTTTTATGCATGAAATTGTACAGGCGAATAGGTGATTTGCAGAATTTTAGTTCATCTCTTGATTTTATAACCAACTTGAGGAACTTAACTAACTTGTAAGACACACGGATCTCCTTGACGTGCAATGATATTTATGTCTATCTTCTGCTGGAGTGTTCAAATACATATCAAGTTACTAACCATTTATTATTGTTTTGACTAGAGTTATAAGAAATGCATTAGTTTCTGGTCCTATCCCAAGGGACATTGTTCGATTGGAAAAGCTAGTTACATTGTAAGTTTTAATGCAAAATCAAGTTAAACAACTTTACACGATTTTATAGAAGGTATTTCATGCCTTGTTAATTCTCTTTGATAGGGATTTAAGTTTCAACAATATAAGTGGTCCGCTTCCACCAACGTTAATGAATATGAGTTCCCTCGTTTCCTTGTAAGTTATCATTACACCTTCCCTTGCAATATTGGACAAATGCAACCGTTTCTTGTATACTCTGTTGTCTTATTGTGCTTGACGTGATCAGGTTTCTTGGAAACAACAGCTTGTCTGGTTCTCTTCTTCCTGAAAAAAGTGAGAAGCTTCAGAATATGTAAGTCGATTAGAGCTATTTGAACATTTAGATCTAGTAGCATTTCATCTGCCATTTGCATTTCTCAAGACTTATCAGGTACACATGAAGATATTGTGTTTTTGCATGAGTTTTGTTCTTTAAACTGACTCTGTACGCAGAGCCATTCACATTTTTTTCTCTCTATTAGACTATATATTTTTTGGTGTGCTTGAGGGTGTCTAAACAATCTGCAGTAGTTGATGTGGGGATATACACTTTTCCAATAATTTATATTAAATTCTGTATGAAGAAATAGGGACGGTGTTTGATGAGCAGGAGATTGGGTTTGTGTTGCTATTATGGGGAACTATAAACAGAAGACGTGCATTTAAAATATCTAAAAGATGATTAGTTCAAATGTTTTTGAAATGTGGCTTGTTTATCTATCTGTCCTTTTCTCGTGTTGAAAAAACGAAGATTAGGAACAACAGATTTCTTTATATAGCAATCTAGGGGAAAAGCTCCGGTTAGAGGCTCAATATTAAAGGGTGCAACAGATTCTGCCAAAAGGCATATCCTACAAGTTCATGTCCAGTTGAGTAGGATCGTCAGGAGTATGGCCTCTGATGTATGGTAGTCACCGTGATTCCTCTTGTTTGTAATAGGTCTCAGGCTCATAGCAGGCAGAAACCTTGATCAACCTATGACAGGTAAAGGGCACTGAATTAGAATGTAAACTTGCCCTTTATTTAGACTAAAGGACTTGCAGGCAGAAACCTTAATCAACCTATGACAGGTAAAGGGCACTGAATTAGAATGTAAACTTGCCCTTTATTTAGACTAAAGGACTTTGAACATCTCCCGCTTGTATTTTTTACATCTTGTTGTCTTGACCAAACCAACCCAACCGTACCCGTATATCTTGCTTAGAGGTGGGGTCTGAGAAGTAGACCTTTCTTCTACACCAAGGGGTGGAGAGGCTGAACCCATGGAGACCCCTGGCTTGTGAAATGGTTTTGGAAATACATGGAAAAACAAAATCCATTCCAAGCATATATTTTGTAAATATCTAAATTTAGAAACCGAAACCCCAGAAAATGAAGAAGCATTCTTGATCTTGATTCTGATACACATGCAACCAGCAGATGTTGAGGAATCATAATAATCTTTATTACATTTGAGAATAATTATATACTGACAGCAACCATTGCAATGTTATATGTTTATGAAGTGTGAGATATACCTTCCAGCCAGATTGTTTAGCCACCATCATTCACAATATTCAAGGCTTCCATGCTTTCATGATAAAGGGTTAATGCAATAGAATACCTCCGTATACTGAATGACAGTATCATCACATAATGCAAATATGTTAGGTTTCAATTAAGAAGCGATAGGAGGAGATTAAATCTACTGCTTGCATCATTCAGCTCATTAATTATGATGCATATGCTTCAAGAGTTTGTTCAATTTCAAGCTCCTAGTCCTTGGTAAAATAATAATTCAAACGTAAAGGTGTGTGAACACGGGCTTCAAGGTATCTGCACACTGATTTTTTTGCAGTGGCTCTGTATTATATGTTGGACATTCTCATTGAGGGTAACTTGTCAGCTGCCATCACATTAGGGTGTCGTGTAGTATGTATGTAACATATTAGGAAGGCCTACATAAGAGGTCAATGCAGCTATTGTTGGTGCAGTGGCTACAACACATAGTTGCCCTATCTTAGGGGTGGCTAAGGTGGAGAGCTGCCATAGGGATATTGTGTGACAAGAAGGTTCCACTAAAACTGAATGGCAAATTCTATAGGGTAGCCACCTGACCAGCTATGTTGTATGGATCGGAATGTCGGGCCAAGGAAGGTCGTTGAGAGGAAGTTGGAAGTTGTGGAAATGAGGATGCTTAGGTGGACATATAGTCGGACCAAGTTAGACATAATTAATAACGGATAAATAGGGGAGATTGCGTTGGTTTGGGCACATTCGTAGGAGACCAATGACGACACTGGTGAGGAGAGTAGAAAGAGTGACAATTGAGGGGCTAAGGAGGAGGAGTAGGACGAGGAGGATATAGGATGAGCAACTGAGGTTGGACATGTTGGTTTTAGACATATCCGAGGTCTTGACCTCAAATAGGAGTACTTGGAGATGGAGGACTAGGATAGCAAACTAGGTTGGGGGACCTGTAGCTAGCATAGTTAGGTAGAAGGGAGTTGGACAGGTTTAGGGGTGTAGAGGACTGGTAGTTTAGGCTAGAGATATATTGTTTGGCCTTAGTTGCTCTGTGTGTGTGCTCTCTACCTTATCTTTTCATAGATATGTTGTTTGGCCTTAGTTGCTCTATGTGTGTGCTCTCTATCTTATCTTTTCATATGTTCTCTTTGTACCTACACATTGCTTTTCTCTAAATATTTTTCTGTGATTTGTTCACCATATGTTAGTCTTTATTATTTATAACTGTTTGTTCACACTCATGCACAAGCCGAAGGTCTTCAGGGAAGCAACCACTTTACCCTTTTGAGGTGGAGGTGCAAGTCTGCCATACATCTCACCCCCTTAGACCCTGCTTTCAAGTGGGGTTTACTGGGTCAATTTGGTTTGGTTTAGTTGAACTATTTAAGTTCTTCTGAATTTTATATATATATTTTTATTTTTCAGTGTCTAGTCGATCTTTTCATCAGAAAACAGACTGTTTTACTTTTTATGCTCTTGATTTAGTAAAATTTTATTTTGCAGAGATTTCTCTTACAATGAACTCGATGGAAATTTTCCTCGGTGGGTGCAGCCAACATGGAAAATGGCTAATCTGCAATTGTACGTTTACTTCCATGTGTTAATCATATCGTCTTGTTTAACACATTTGCTTATAAGATGTCTATTTGAGGTGCCTTTCATATGGTGGACGTTTACTTTTCAAGGTCACCTGACACCTACATGCCAATGCTAAAATATGGCAATTTTCATTCCAAAGACATTAGACAAACCGAGCCTCACAAATCAGTTCAGAATCTTGAGGGAGTACTGCACATGGAATGTTCTGGTTGTAGGATTTATCCTTTCTCTCATTATTAATGTTTAAGGACACTGTTTGAATTTTAAACATCTTGATGAATGATATCCTGATATGTGGCTTGTTTGTGTGTCTTGATCCAGTTCTTTCTTTTTTCTTTGTAATTTCATTAACATATATCGAAATGGTTGCCTGTTATTTCAGGAATCTGGTGGCTAATAACTTCAAATTTGACAGCAGAAACATAAGGTAATCATTTAACTTATTATTCTAGTTGATATGGTCATTGTTTGGGATGCCACATATACCAACTTTTAGGATTAACTGCATCGAGGCACTTTGAACGAGAGAAACAAGTTAATATGATTTTGGAAAGGTTATGATAGGAACAAAGATAAATTGATCACTCTAATTGATCGTTGGTGACATCTTGAAGTTTCCCAGTTATTGTTCTTATAGATATTCAAATGAATCTTTGTAGAGGTATAAATTTTGTAACTGATATTGCATGACATCCCCTTCTTTAAGACCCTGTCAAAAGGTTGAAACAACTGAAGATGTTCATACATCTTTCTTGAGAGACACTTGAAAAAGCAGTCAATTTTCACTTATTTTATTTTGGACTTCAGTTTTCTCTTCATTGTTCATGATACTAGTATTTTGTTTGTGACCTTCCATCCACAGTCCACTTCGACAAAGTTTCCACGCATGATTGCCAGCAGTGCAACAAATCTTCGCTCTATGTTTGGAGCATGCAGTAAAACATTATTTATTCCAAAAGGAGGATATGAATTCATATATTATTGGATTGAGAGGAGAAAATTAGTAAAAGTTCCAATTGGGATACTTGTAGTATTTCTTTCATAAAGTTCACATCCACTGACCCATTCTGAAGTTGAAGTCATCCTCTTTTTCCATCACCGGATCACTTTTATAGTTCTCTGAGTTATGTTCTGTATTCAGCTGCCACCAGTTGATCAAAACAATGGTTTTGATTGATTGATGCCCCCAGTTGTGTGGAGATTGCCATCTTCTTTCCTTTAATGCTATCAGAATAATCCACCTGTCATATAAATTCATGCCTTTTAATTTTTTAACCGTCAAATATATAGAGTATATATTATATAATTTCCAAATTTTCTTCAATATTCTTAATTTTATCTAGAGTACTGTAAAGGGTAAATCTATAGCTGGTATTCTGCTATGTAGTACTTTTAATTCTCTTGAGTAATTGCATCTCCGTTTGCAGTGATCTCCCAGGATTGTTTTGTCTTCAGCGAGACTTTCCTTGCAACAGGAACACGACACCCTGTAAGTTGCTCATTGTTTCTTTGGACATATATGAACAACATACTTTTAGCTTTACTATTTGATAGCCCGTGCTTACTTTCTGGTTTTTAATTAAATTACTGTCTTCATGTTAAGAGAAGATCTAATTTGGAAAAAATAACGAAAACATCAACCAACCACACCGTTAAGACATGAGTGTAACTTAAAAATATTTATAGGATAACAAAGAGAAGGAGGTTTCAACATATATAGAGGTGAAATGGTCCAAGTCTAGCCGATGTGGGACTCTAACATAAGTGAGCATGACACCGTTAATGCGCGCTGTTATGTGTTGGTTGTTTGATTCGATATTTTTGTCAATACCAAACCAAACAAATAAATGGCATGTTGCCATGCATGTGAACACATTGTCTCCTATATATATGGCATGAGTGGTAGTGGCAGTGTGAAATTTTTACCATATATGATTTCCCTTATTGACCCCTCAAATAATTTGTTAGAAATTACTGGAAATCTCCTAGTGAATCTGGATGCATGAGGCAGAGAATTCTATTAGATGAAAAATGAACAGAGATTACAAATGATTAGCCCCCACTTATTTATAGGCTAAACAGGAAAGAAATAACAGACTAACAGAACTAGCAACCAACTGTCCACCTTGACTTTAATTCTACAAAGATTCTACTTCCAGTTATCATGTTTAGGAGATCTAAACAATGTTTGAACTTGTTTAAAGAAACATGTTTAGTAAGTGCATCAGCTGGGTTATCATCATCTTCACTTTCTTCACTTTAACTCTTCTTTCTGACCGTATAAACTGATAACGAACGTCTATGTGCTTCGTTCTTTCATGATGCACCTGATCTTTCGCAAGACAAATAGCACTTAAACTGTCAGAAAAAATCACAGTTTGATCTTGATGAAATCCAAGATCTCCAAGTAGACCCTTCAGCCAAATCCCTTCCTTGGCTGCGTCTGTAAGTGCCATATATTCAGCCTCTGTTGAGTGCCATATAAAGCAACTGATGACTGTAACGTTGCTTTCCAGCTTACTAGGGCATCTCCAACAGTGAATACATAACCCGTTAATGATCTTCGATTGTCAAGGTTAGCTGCATAATCTGAATCTGAATACCCAGCAACAAAACTGTCTCCTTTTCCTCCATAAATGAGACCCACATCAGCTGAACCTTTAAGATACCGAAAAATACGCTTCACAGCAGCCCAATGTTTCTTTCCTGGACAAGCCATACAGCACGAAACGACACTAATAGCATGAGCTATGTCAGGCCTGGTACAGACCATAACATACATAAGACTTCCCACAACACTTGAATAAGGAACTCTGCTCATATACTCCACTTCAGCTTCTGTTTGAGGAGCCAAAGCCACCGATAACTTGAAATTTGCAGATGATGGAGTGCTCAAAGGCTTTGCCGAAGCCATACCAAACCGAGAAAGTATCTTCACAATGTAACTTTTATGTGACAAGAAAAGTTTGTCTATTTGTCTCGAACTATTTCCATCCCAAGTATCTTTTGAGCAGCCCCCAAATCTTTCATATCAAACTCAGAATTAAGGAGTTGTTACAACCTCTTAATTTCAGCCATATCTCGAGCTGCTACCAACATATCATCCACATAAAGTAGCAAATACACACGTGAACCATCAACTACTTTCTTTTGATATATGCAGCAATCATAAGGGCTTCGATTAAAACCATGTTTCACCATAAAGCTGTCAAATCGCTTATACCACTGCCTCGGAGATTGCTTCAATCCGTAAAGCGATTTCTTGAGCTTACAAACATAATCTTTCTTTTCTTGAATCACAAATCCCTCCGGTTGACTCATATTAATTTCTTCTTCAAGATGTCCATGCAGGATTGCTGTTTTAACATCCAACTGTTCCAACTCCAAATTTTGTTGTGCTTCTAGTGCCAACAGCACTCGAATGGATGTATGACGCACCACCGGTGACAAGATTTCATTATAATCAACCCCTTGCTCTTGGCTATAACCTCTAGCCACCAAACGAGCCTTAAATCTCACATTTTCAACTCCTGGCATCCCTTCTTTCCGCCTAAAAATCCACTTACAGGTCACAACTTTTCTGCTTGAGGTAATTTCACCAATTCCCAAGTCCTATTTTTGTGAAGGGACTCCATTTCTTCACTCATGGCTGTTATCCACACATCAGCCTCCTTTGTCGTGATTGCTTCTCCATAAGTAGATGGCTCAAAGAAATCCAATTTTTCAGCAACTTGTAACACATAGGCCACCACGTCATCAAAACCATATCGAATCGGCCTACCAACTTGTCTTCGAGGCTTGTCTAACATTATGGACCAAAAATCCATAGGCTGGTGCTGACTTTCGGACTCAACAGGTCCTGTTTCAGTCATGTTACTGTGCTGTCCAGAAACATTCTCACCCTCATCAGAATCATTTAACTCATGCTCCACATATCCTCTCCTCTTGGCCTTTTGAAGTAGACGAATACCGTACGTCACGCAACATACTTCCTTCATCAAATATTACATCACGGCTGAGAATCACCTTTCTTTCATCTAGTGAACAGATTCTATACCCTTTTACTCCAGCACCATATCCCATAAATAACCCCTTCTTTGACCTTGATTCCAACTTTCCTTCACTCACATGGTAGTATGAAGGACAACCAAACACCCGTAAATTTGTGTAATCAGCTGGCTTTCTGAACCACATTTCAATAGGGTTTTTACAACCAATTGCTGTTGCCGGAGACCTATTTACCAGGTAACAAACCGTGTTTAATGCCTCAGCCCAAAAACCTCTCGACAGCTCTGCATTTGACAGCACACACCTGACCTCGACCACTCCATTTTGCTATGGAGTGTGCCTAACCGTTCAGTGCCTTGCAATTCCTTCATCTTTACAAAACCGATCAAACTCATTTGAACAAAATTCCAAACCGTTAACAGTTTGCAACCTTTTTATCTTTTTCCCAACTTGATTTTCAATGAGAACCTTCCATTCTTTGAACTTCTCAAACGACTCACTCTTATCTTTCATGATAAACACCCAAGTCATCCTAGAGTAATCGTCAACTACTGAGAGGAAATAACGGCTACCACCAAGAGACGGAATCTGTGAAGGACCCCGACAATCAGCATGTAGATAATCCAAAGTAGACTTGGTATTATCGACAGCCTTTGAAAAACTCACTCTCCTTTGTTTTCCAAAGATGCAATGCTCACAAAAGCCTAGTTCAGCAACTTTATGACCTTCAAGAAGTCCTTGCTTGCTGAGCATGAGCATGCCTTTCTCACTAACATGCCTCGACCTCGTATGCCACAAGAGTGTCAAATCTGACTTGTTTTTGTCAGAACTAAAGGCTGGCGATGCTGACCCAATAACCGTGTTGCCTTCAAGCACATACAAAGTACCTTTCTTGACTCCTTTCATCACCACTATTGCACCTTTAGAGACCCGAAGTACTCCTTTTTCACAGCTGTACTTGAAACCTTTGGAATCCAAAGCTCCCAAAGAAACCAAATTCTTTTTCAAATCAGGTACGTGATGAACATCAACCAAAATTCTCACTACCCCGTCGTGCATTTTGACACTTGCCGAACCTATTCCAGCAACATTACACGGAATGTCGTTCCCCATTAAAACACTTCCTGTTGCAACCTTTTCATAAGTATCAAACTAGGACTTATTCGGTGTCATGTGAAACGAACACCCGAAGTCAAGAATCCACTCATCTTGTTGACTTTTAGAGTCACCTACTGAAAGAACCAGATTAGCCTCTGAACCCGAATCATCTTTACCAACAACAGCGGATGCCTTCTCTTTCGTTTTGGACATTCATTTTTCCAATGTCCAAGATCACCACACCTGTGACATACATCTTTCGGGCTAGCTTTTGACCCTTAGATCTTGATTGACTTCTTCCTTTCCACTTGCCTTTAGCTCTCTCTCGACCCTTTTCTCTACCTTCATTTACCACTGACAAGCCAACAGATTGGCTTTCAGTTCCATTTCTGGAAGCTTTATGGCGTAATTCTTGTGAATGCAAACTTGATCGAACTTCTTTCAAAGTAATTGTGTCCCTTCCAACTACAAACGAGTTGACAAAATTTTCGTATGAGGGTGGCAATGAGACCAATAGAATGAGAGCAACATCCTCATCTTCAACCTTGACCTCAACATTATTTAAATCCATAAGAATGGAGTTTAACTCGTCAAGATGTTCCTTCAATGGCATTCCCTCCTTCATTCGAAGCGAAAATAACCGTTGCTTTAACAACAACTTGTTTGTTAAAGACTTTGTCATGTAGAGACTTTCAAGTTTCATCCATAGAGATGAGGCAGTCTCCTCATCTGCGACCTCGTAAATCACTTCATCTGCCAAGGACAACAAGATGGTGTTGTGAGCCTTCTCATCTTGTTGATTAAACTCAGTGTCGGCCATATTTGCAGGTCTTTCACCAGCCAAGGGAGTCCAAATTCCTTGCTGTTTTAGGAGAGCTCTCATCTTGATTCGCCGTAACCTGAAATTATTCTTCCCATTAAACTTGTCGATCTTGATCATTTGTGGAGGCACACCAAAATCTTGATTTAACCGAGACAGGTGCTTTCGGTCACCAAAGAATGACCAATTCCAGTCGCCCTCCATCTAGAATCGAACACTAGTCGCCAATTGATCACCCAGTTACAGTTACCTGTCACCAATCGATCACCAATTTCAATTGTGAGACTCCAATCGATCGCCAATTTCTATTGCGAGCCTCCAATCTATCATCAATTTCTGATACGCTTCCTAATCGATCATCAATTTCAAGAAGCCGGTTCCCAATCGATCGCCAATTTTAATTCCTGAAAACCAATCGATCACCAATTTCAGTTGTCGCTCCACCTTGAATCCCGTTGCCTTGAATTGGACTTCAAGATTGATGCAATTGATTGCCAAGATTACAATCGGAAGAAGCAATTTCAAAACACAAGTCGACTTGATCAATCGCAGAAGCAGTCTTGATCAATTGCAGAATCAAGAACCGAAAAAAGATCCAGAACCAACAGAAGCGTGTCTTTGATCACCACGCTCTGATACCAATTTGTTAGAAATTACTGGAAATCTACAAGTGAATTTGGATGCGTGAGGCAGAGAATTTTATTAGATGAAAAATGAACAGAGATTACAAATGATTAGCCCCCACTTATTTATAGTCTAAACAGGAAAGAAATAACAGACTAACAGAACAAGCAACCAGCTATCTACCAGAAATTTAGTCACACCTGACATAATTGTTCTTAGATTAGTAGGAAATGCTTATAATTTATCCTCCAAGAAGTTTTTATTTATCAAATTAACTAAGAAGTGGTGAGCTGGGGATTGATGATCTTTGCTGCTTGCTTCAGATTCTGGCTTTGCAATCAAGTGTGGTGGCTCAAAAATGAGGTCCGCCAATGGCATATCATTCGAGAATGAAAACCAAACTTCCCTTGGACCAGCTTCTTTTTATTTAAATGAAGACAAATGGGGAGTCAGCAATGGTGGTATTGCCATTGACACAGATGATCCGTCATTTATAGTATCCACCACAACAGAAGTAAATAACACAAGATATCCAGAGCTTTTCCGTACTTCAAGGACGTCTCCAAGCTCGCTTAGATACTACGGTTTAGGACTAAAAAATGGTCCTTATACTGTAAGCCTTTACTTCGCGGAGACCGTCTTCAATCGAAGCAGAAACACCTGGCAGGGTCATGGGAGGCGTGTCTTTGATATTTACATCCAGGTTAGCTTGCTGTAAATCTCCAGCTGTTTGGATCTATTGTCTTCCCACCATTATATTTCTGCATAATGAACTCTTAGTTCATCTTTATTTTTTCTCGGAAATTTACAATTTTGATTTTCACAGTGGAGAAATTAGGAAAATGGACCTCAAGAGGAAACAACCAGAAGTTTTGACGACAGGCATTAATATGTTTCAAATCTATTTTAAATACTTTTTTTTTTCTTTTTCCTATAAGATGGCTTAAAATCCATTCTCACATTCTGAAAATAGAAGTTTAGAAAATCTTGACATATTTTGAAGTTGTAAATGAGTATAGCTTGTGTTCATGAAATAAGTGGCCTTAATATTTTGCTAAGCACTTGATTTCATATGCTCTAAATCTTGTAAATATCTGTGAACCAGTGCCAAATCGTCGATTTGTTTATTCCTGTACTCCAGGGAAATCGTCGACAGAAGGACTTTGACATATCAAAGGAGGCAGGTGGTGTTGGAAGAGCTCTCATAAAGGATTTTGATGTTAATGTGACGCAAAGTTTTCTTGAGATTCATCTGTTCTGGGCTGGGAAGGGGACTTGCTGCATTCCTGAACAGGGAGATTATGGACCTTTAATTTCTGCCCTCAGAGTTTCTGCTGGTACAGAACATGGAATGCATACATATTATTTCACACTCATGCTCAGATGAGTATCTCTCTATTCCGCTCTGATTCTTGTGATTGCTGTTATGTTTTTTCTCAGGTTTCGCTGTCAAGAGCAAGTCAAAAACTGGAATGATCATTGGTATTGTAGCTGGTGTGGCATCTGTCAGCCTTATTCTCTTAGCTTTTGGTTTATACTTGAAAAGGAGAAGGTCAAAACATGGGGAAGAAGAAGGTAATGATTATATCACCATCTATATTTGTAATACGCGTCATAACTAAGTCATTTTATAAATACACCCCCCTTGTTGTTTAGCCAGCAAAAGACTCCCCTTTGAAAACCCGAAATACAAGGTTCTGCAAGGTCTTTTGGTTATCTAGCTGGTCTGGGTTGTTGAACAATGAGCTGACCAGAGTCTTCAAAATGGTGCCAACAAATGTTGGTTATAGTTCATACAGGGAATAGAAGGGTGTTTTTGATCTGTTACTATGCCAATATAACAATCATTTGACTGAGGAACTTTGTGTCGTCAACTCAACTAAAGTGGTCCTGGTTGGGATTTCATTGTAGATGAAGGATCGAGTGAGAATAGGAGTTAAGGTGAGAAGCATAAGATGGGATATCATTGATCACTTTTAATCTCACACCCACCCCATGAATTGCGCTTATCACGGGAATTGATCCGAGCTGCACTGCATTAGTCTTGATCTTCAATTAGGATTGATCCAAGGGTGGAGATCCCTTCTTACCGTTCTCACCATAACTTCCATTCTCACCGGAATCCAACCCTTTCATTATATACCTTTTAGTTGTCTTTATGATACGCTTAAGAGGGTGTTTGGTTAGAGGTATTAATCAGTTATTACCGGGATTGAATACAAAAGAAATTGTTTGGTATTATATCATATAATGAGCTCATTCCCCATAAGCCCAAATTTCCTTTCCAGGTTAAACCGGGGAGGGGATTGAAAATTCATTCCCATTTTCATTCCCTGTCATTCTCATTTTCATTCCCTTGCCTGAACCAAACAACCCATAAGTATTCGGATGAAGATCAAGTTGGAAATATATCTTTCATACTTTTGCTTGGGAGTTCGACGGTGTAAGATGGTGAATAATTCTAGTTCCGAGACATTCATGTATAGATGTTGCATGAATTGGTCATGTCAACCTTAATTGGCAGCTATTGTGGATATTTAATTTTCTTAATCATGTCGAGTAAGAGTCCGGTGATGGCATGCTTATTTCTGTTTAACATGCCTAACTAGCCACTATCTAATTTTATTAATCATGTTGAGTAAGAGTCTGGTGATTGTAATTCCATATTGCTCCTTCCTACACAATTTGATTGTAATTCCATAATATCTACTGTTCATTTCTCTTTCTCTATTCTTCTCAATGTATATTACCTCTTTTTTCATTTTTTAAGCAGAATTTCTTGGAATTGGGCTTAAAATAAATACTTATACCTATGGGGAACTGAGAACTGCAACTTCAGATTTCAGTCCTTCAAATTTGCTCGGAGAAGGTGGTTTTGGACCTGTTTACAAGGTTTGATATTACAGCATTTCTGTACCCAAATCACATTTACAATTCTGAATACATCTTCCTTCGCTATTGAACTGATTTGGTTGGATTATTATCGTACTTGCTTTTTTTTTTTTTTTTTTTTTTGGGGGGGGGTGGTATATGCTGCTGATAATACATGGTACATCTCCGTGATGTGTGAGGACTAGTTCCAAAGTTCAATATTCGAACTAAATTTGCATAATTGCTATTAAATTTTGTGTTAAAAAATCATAACGAGTTTTTAATGCCTCAGGGGATATTGAATGATGGCAGCATAGTAGCTGTGAAGCAACTGTCAGTAGCATCCCACCATGGGAGGAGTCAGTTTATAGCTGAGATTTCAGCCATTTCATCTGTCCAGCACTGGAACCTTGTGAAGTTGCATGGTTCCTGTATTGAAGGAGCTAGAAGACTTCTGGTTTACGAGTATCTTGAGAACAAAAGCCTCGATCAAGCACTTTTCGGTATGGAAATCCTTACACACCTTAAATATCTTTTGGTGATAAATTTTAACAGTTTTAGAACAGAAAAAATGGAAAAAACAAAGAGCAAATGTTCGATGTTAGGTCCAAACTTGTTAAATGAAGTGTACATTGATAACAACGATTAACTTTCATGCTTTTTTCCATTGTTTGTATGTTCGGGGGTGTTTGGTTCATGGATTTTGAAGGAATTGGAACGGATGATTCCTTTGACCAAATTCCAAATCCTATGTTTGGTTCACATGATGAAAACGTAGGAACTCCACAAATTAATGAATTTATCATCCTTAGCACAAGTGAAGGAATTAAATTCCATCTCTTTGCATCCAATTTAACCAACACCACCCACCACCTACCCCAACCATGACCATGCTACTACTGTCACTCCCCCAACCCTAACCCTAACGCTCGCCACCACACCACTATTTTTGTCGTCACAAATTCACCCACCCCCACCTTACCTTAACCCCAACCCACCACTAACCACCATACTACTGCTGTCGTCGTCACAGTTGCCACCCTCACCTCGTCACCCACAACCACCCCGCCTGGCACCCCCACCTCGCCACCCGACCACCATGCCACTGTTGTCGTCGTCACAACAACCACCTCGTGGGTGGTGGGGCTGGAGGGCTGCGTGGGTGGGTGCGGATGAGGTGCGGCGGCGGGTGTGGATGGGGG